TTTAGCCGTGTTAGTCTGGTGTAGCTGAAACAAAAGACAGGACTATGTAGCACTTTAAAGACTAACAAGATGGTTTAGCCGGTGATGAGCTTTCGTGGGCCAGACCCACTTCCTCAGATCAAATAGTGGAAGAAAATAGTCACAACCATATATACCAAAGGATACAATTTAAAAATAATTGTATCCTTTGGTATATATGGTTGTGACAATTTTCTTCCACATATTGATCTGAGGAAGTGGGTCTGGCCCACGAAAGCTCATCATCTAATAAACCATCTTGTTAGTCTTTAAAGTGCTACATAGTCCTGTCTTTTGTTTCAGCTACACCAGACTAACACGGCTGCATCTCTATCTCCAAAGACCCCACACTGAGTATTTTATATAATCTCATGATTTGAAAGCCAATCTCATGATCTCTGGGGATCCTGACTGTAACGGGTGCAGAGGCTGGTGAGCACCCTGCTGCAGCCATGTGGCTCTGTGCCGGATCCTTGCCTGGTTGTCCAGTTGCCCTCAAAGTCCTGGAACCAGGCCTGACTAGCCCTGTCCATGGTGCTAGTAAGTCTCTGCTTGTGGCTGGTCTTTGGCTTGTGGGGCTGGGTTTCCCCCAGATCTAGGCTCAGCTCACACTGGGAGCTAGCCCTAGTGCTGCTCCACCCCCCTTCTGGCTGGGTCAAGCTCCTGAAGGGAACTGGCAGGGCCCAGCCCTGCACCTTCTTTTATATCCCTTTGTAGGGTCTTGATTGGCTGCCGCAGCCACTCTGTAGTGTCTGGAGGACCTCTTCTCCGCTCCTCCTGCTGGGATGTGGGCAGCAAGGCACCGGCCTCCTGGAGGGGGCGTCGGGGCCTAGTCCAGCCCATCCCACTGACTCACGCCTTTTCTTAGGATTGACAATAAGTTCAGTATTTTATATCTATATATCTCCTGTGCTTGGTGAATGGCAGAAAAGGGAAGGCCACTCTGTAGTGTCTGGAGGACCTCTTCTCCGCTCCTCCTGCTGGGATGTGGGCAGCAAGGCACCGGCCTCCTGGAGGGGGCGTCGGGGCCTAGTCCAGCCCATCCCACTGACTCACGCCTTTTCTTAGGATTGACAATAAGTTCAGTATTTTATATCTATATATCTCCTGTGCTTGGTGAATGGCAGAAAAGGGAAGAGAAAGTCAGTTATGTCTTTCTACCATTGTCTCACTTGCATTCAAGAGTGAATAGCAAAAGGACTATTCGTTAACAGGCCAAGTGCTGCAGGCATCTCGGGGCGGTGGGCAGAGTGGGAAGCTGGGGGGGAGCCCGGCTGGCACCCTGCTCTGCACACACTGGCGCAGAGTCTCTGAGCTGGCTAAGCTGCGTCTGGCCCAGGTCTAGGCAGCGGTGGGGAATGGCCAGGCCCTGGTGCTCTGTGCTCCCTGGGCTGCCCGGGGTCCTGAGGCATGTTCTGGCGTAAATCAGTGGTTCCCACCTGTGGCCTGAGGACCCCTGCTGGTCCGCGATGGTACTGCCGGGGCTCCGTGGAACATTATAAGTAAGGTGTGCCCGAGCATTATTTGTCTTTTCCCTCCCACCGGGAGGTGGGTCCTTGACATTCCCCTAGACTGAAAAGGGGCCTGTGTGTGCCAAAAGGTGGGAACCACTGGTGTAAACCAACTAAGGGTACGTGAGTCACAGCCCTTGAGCCAGGGATATTGGAGCCCTGGAGTCACTTTGCTGCCATAGGCAGGCTAGAGCCAAACGCCTGGCTTCACTCACCTTCCGTGTTGTCTCGGTTTTTGCCAGAGCCGCATTGGAAAGCACAGGGTTACCAGCCTCCAGAGGCTACAGATAAATCTTTAATGAAAGGTTGTGTCATGTAATGAAACCTCCAGGAATACGTCCAGCCAGCCCTGGCAACCCTAAAATACATCCCCAGGAAACCGTGAGCAGCTCCTCCTGGGGCTGATGTTTCACCCTCGGAGCCTACTGCTGTGAGCCAGAACCTTGCGATCTTTGCACTCGGTGGGCCCACCAGACAGACAGCCAAGCCCGTCCCTGCTCCAAAGATTGCAAGGCTCAGCCCAGGCTGTGTGTGTCCGGGCAGGGACAGCTGTCGTCTCTCTTGGGGACCCTCGGAATGGCCTTGTCAGCGTGTGGAGGAGACTCCATTCCCTGCAGTAGTCGGGGGAAACACGCTCAGTCGGGGGAAAGAAGTCAAAGTCAAAGATGTTAAATCTCAGTCTACACTCCCCAACGCCAGCTCTGCGGGGAACTCGACCGGCGGGAAGTGAATCTTCGAGCCAGGGATATTGGAGCCCTGGAGTCACTTTGCTGCCATAGGCAGGCTAGAGCCAAACGCCTGGCTTCACTCACCTTCCGTGTTGTCTCGGTTTTTGCCAGAGCCGCATTGGAAAGCACAGGGTTACCAGCCTCCAGAGGCTACAGATAAATCTTTAATGAAAGGTTGTGTCATGTAATGAAACCTCCAGGAATACGTCCAGCCAGCCCTGGCAACCCTAAAATACATCCCCAGGAAACCGTGAGCAGCTCCTCCTGGGGCTGATGTTTCACCCTCGGAGCCTACTGCTGTGAGCCAGAACCTTGCGATCTTTGCACTCGGTGGGCCCACCAGACAGACAGCCAAGCCCGTCCCTGCTCCAAAGATTGCAAGGCTCAGCCCAGGCTGTGTGTGTCCGGGCAGGGACAGCTGTCGTCTCTCTTGGGGACCCTCGGAATGGCCTTGTCAGCGTGTGGAGGAGACTCCATTCCCTGCAGTAGTCGGGGGAAACACGCTCAGTCGGGGGAAAGAAGTCAAAGTCAAAGATGTTAAATCTCAGTCTACACTCCCCAACGCCAGCTCTGCGGGGAACTCGACCGGCGGGAAGTGGGATCGCTGGCCCGACCTGCCTCTGCAAAGTGGGCTCTTTCTCTTCTCTGCGCGGGGCATTCCCAGTGGCTGCTAGCAGCAGTTCAGCTCCAGGAGGGTCATGGAGGGACGATTGAGGCGTGCC